AAAATACTGATTTGAATAAGGAAAAGGGGTCGGGCACTAAGTTTGGAAATGTTCTGGCTTTGGGTATAAGATAGGGGTCATTTGGGACTAAGAGGGGGGATTTTTTTAACACAAAAGAAAATTTCAGGGTTTAAGTTAAAAAAGAACTGATTTTTCAGAACTAAAAATTGATTCTTTGAGAGTTAAAAACTGAAAGTGAAGCCTTTCTTTACGGCTGAAAATCAGAATTCTATTACTGCTTCCGTGGTTTACATTTGGTACTACTGATTTTCGGATTGGCTTTCCTGGTTTTTATTTTGGTTTTGGAGTGTTGTTTCGTTTGAATTTCTGGGTTTCTATTTGGTTTTCAAGTTTTCTACTTGGTATCTGAATCTGGCTCTTGGGTTTCTGCCACTATTTGTTACGGGGATGTTCTGTGTATTTCTGCGCTGTTGCTGTTGTTGTGTTGTTTACTGCTGTCCTGCTGATCTTCCTCTTCTTCTCTTGTTCTATTACCAGGTACATTCTCGAATCACAATGTCATGTAGCTGTTGAAAAAATGAAAGGCAATGCTCGAATAGTCGAGTATTTAAGTTGTACTGATAGCTTAATAGTCAAATGATAAGTAGTTTTATAGTTTATCTTTGTAATTCAATAAAGAAGGTGGACTATAGGATTTATATTCGACTGAACTGTTTTCTACAATTTTCCTTAGTTTCTATGTATGATAGTTGGGGTTTTTGTTTTGTTTTAAATAAATATATCAAGTTGTTGGAATTGAACAAGTTTAGGTAATCCTAATTGGACGGATTTGGGCTAATTTTGTGAACTAGGTATTAAGGTTTGGTTCAGGCAGCTTGTTTGTTTAAAATGGGGGGCTTGTTTGGTTTGAAGAGGTAAGTGTTGAATAGGTTTAGTTCCGCCAGTTTTAGGCAGAAATAAAAAGGCCATTAATTTTATAGAATCCGTAGGATTGACATATTTGAAGCGCGATTCAATGTAGAAAGGATAAGAACCTTAATCCAATAGGTTATTCAAGTTAACGAGCTAGCTTCAACAAACTTTCGTAAGCATCAGTAATTAAGGTGGGTTTAGTTTCAAATAGTTGAAAAGCATTTAGTCCCAATGAATCAATTCGTCTAACAATGCGAGTTTAATCTAGCTATAGGCTAATTAGTTTATTTTGAATATATTTTTTGTCGATTCCGTATTTTATTTATAATTTCAATTTTAGTAATCTTCTCTTCCGTTAACATTTGTCTTAATCTAGCAATTAATATGTTACACTTTTTTTTAGCATATAACTAATTAGGATTTTTCTCTTTTAATTTAGAGACGAATTTAATAAAAATGTAGTCACTTTAGGATATACTTAAAATAAATGAGGCATGCTTCACAAAAATAAATCGTAAGTTGCGGGGCCCTCTATACGTGTTTGAAAAATTACTTAGACTTCGGGATGAGCCGTTTAGCAAAATATCACGGCCTTACCCAAAATAATGATACGCTAATCGCTTTAGGCGCGCCTTGAATAAATTACTTTCTTAAACTCAGGTGCACATCTATGTGGCCCAGATCCAAATCTTAACGGAGTCAAAGTGTGTCGATAACCATGGGTACATTGACTGTGACGTGGTTCGAGATACGTTTTTCACAACGTTGCAATTTTCCGTAAAATAATAACAATAATAATAAAATTGATAAAAGCGGTTCAAAGTTAAAATTTGCATACAAGTTCTTAATTGTTAAAAATCAGATAAAATAAGCCAAATATAACAGTTGAGCGACCGTGCTCGAACAACGGAACTCGGGAATGCCTAACACCTTCTCCCGGGTTAACATAATTCCTTATCCGGATTTCTGGTTCGCGGACTATTAAACAGAGTCAATCTTTTCCTCGATTCGGGATTTGACCAGTGACTTGGGACACCATAAATCTCCTAAGTGGCGACTCTGAAATAAATAAATAAATCTTGTTTCGATTGTCCTTTAATTGGAATAAACTCCCTTCCGCGTCCCTTTTGCGGGCGGCGCGGGCGAAAAAGGAGGTGTGACACCAATGAGACTCGATTTTATTCACAAAATAATAAAGGAGGATCACGAGCCTCTAGAGGGATGTGTTGATTTGCCCAATGCACACCTCATACCTCTTGCAAAAATCCAAAACAATAGGGTCTATCGGTTCCGGTGTAAAGAGGTAAGTGTAAACACTTAAATACCCCTCCACGTGGGTAGTAATAACATCCTCGGACCCGGGGACTACTATGTCTTTGTCTTCCCATTTACAGTCCTCTCAAACCGCGGGAAGGACATCTTCGGTAATGGAGCATATGTACCTCGATGCTCCTTCATCCTGGTCCTGTTTGGATAAAGGTTTTTCGACCTTGAAGTCATCCGCAATTGAACAACCCCCGAGAATAAATAGTTTCAAGAAGGGCTCGAGAGCCGGTTCAGTGGCAGTCGACTCGATGGCAGCCACTTCGGGAGAAACTGTCTCGAGAACAACTATTTTGGGAGCGACCGCCTTAATACCGGTGGCTGGTTGGGAAGATGAAGAGGTAACATGCTGAGGGACTAACTTGGAAGTTTTGGCCATGATTATTTATGAAAGTTTGAAGATTTAAAGAAAAAGTATGGAGGTTTGAAGGGACATGTTTGAAGGCTGAAGAACAAAGTATGAAGATTCGAAGAAAATCTGGGTAAGAACCTAAGAACAACTATTAGAATTTGAAGATCAAGGGTGAATAGCTAGAGAATTTGAAGGTAGAAGCTTGATCGGAAAGTGGAAAAAGAACAGGGGATAGAAGCATTTACAGGGGAAGTTCGTGACGCTTCGCATTCGGAGGCAACCAACCGATGGTTAACACGTGTTCGAAGTTAGACTGATGCAACTGATGGGACGTTTCGACGTCTTCGTCGTTTTGATTGTAATGTACAGAGGAAGGAACCAGAGAACGTCTATTGTTTCTCATCGCTTGGGCAAACCTACTCTCTAAGAAACGAGGAGACAATCTGTATACGGGTAAAACCGGGGCTAATGAGCATCCAGATTTTCCGGTAGGACAAACGAAGCCAGGACGTAACTACCAAAAATCAGAATCAAAGCTAAGAGCCTCTCGTATCAAGGCCCGAACAAAACACCTGCCCTCGAAGCTTTCGAGGCCACGCCCCCGGACACTGTTCGAGCCCTGTGACTCCGAAAAATACTATGAAGCAGTTGCACATGGCTAGCGAAGGGACGTGATATCCACACCAGACCGGGTATTACGACATGAATCTCGGCCCGTATCGGCAACAGATAAGTGATTGGCGAAAAGGAAGATTTTTACCTTTGTTTGCATTGTGCTTAGGATAAAATTTTCCTATTATATAAGAGGGAAGTTTATTATTCAATAAACAGATTTGTAACACGCATACCAAGGCAATATAATTTTGTTTTCTCTACTTCTAAAGGTGATTCAAAGTTCTTAATTTTCTTCATAGCTCTTCATAAGTGTTAGGCTCCGAACCGAAGATAAGCTAATTCTCAAGATCATAACCGAGCCCAGATTCAATATTTTTACTGGTTTGGCTATTTATTCTATCTTTAATTTGCTCACCTGACGTCATTAATTACTTGTATTGAATTAGTCCACATATCCTTAAAATCGCGTAAAAATTCCATTGTTATCCATTTTTACGGGTAAACAAGAACATTGGTATTATTTTGTGGAGGTTATACACCAC